CCTGATAGTTAAGCCTTTATAATGTAGTCCTCTGTAACACTGTTACTGAGGGCCAGAACTCTAAGATTTTAGCCAGTATTATGCTCTAAGATTTTACAAGCATTTAAAAAAAAATCCAAAACATAGGGGCCAGGGAGATGGCTCAGTACCATAAGCACTGCCCTGGCAAGCACCAGGGCCTGAGTTCAATCCCTTGTTAAAAAAAAAAAAAAATCCAAAACGAAGTACAAATCCACGTTCTGGCATCTTGAACACAGAACCACCACCTTACAGCTCACTTTCTCAGCCTCCTTAGTGTCCTGTAAACTTAGCCATCCATTTTATCTCAGTAGCAAATTGATTTTTTTTTAACAATGAAATGATTAAGAGTAATCTTTACCCTGTTTCTTTAATATCCTATCGGGATATAATGTACATACTACAAGACTCACTTAAAGTGTGCCATTCAGTGGTTTTTCTTTTCTTGGCTAAAAATAAATTCCCAAGTACTAAGCTTGCCCCTCTTTTCTAGTGATCCTCCTGTTTTCAGCCCCCCCAGCGCTGGGATTACAGGCGTGTGCCACCTTGCCTGGCCTTGTTTGCCAGCTCAGAGCATCCTGGGGGCAGCACCGGGGATCCACCCTGGTCCCTGCCCTTGCGAAAGCAGGTGCTTAGTCCATTGAGCTATTTTGCCAGCCCCAGTTTGCCTCTTAACCACGTTTAGGTGTGTGGTTTGATAGTGCTGATAGATCAGTAGTAACCTTTAGACTGACTGGAATATACCCATTTCACAGGGCTAACAGCCTTTGTTCTCATTAAAATTTCACATAGGCTAAAAAATACCTTTAAAAGCATTTTGAAAAAAAAAAAATTAGAATGTTAGTTGTAACCTGACCAAAGCGCCGCCATCCTGTTCTGTATGCGCCCTCTTAGTGAACCACGTAAGCTGCTGTAAAATGTGACTTCCTGCTTCCCAAGCCCCTCATCCCATCCTTGAGTTCCAACGTGTGCTTTGTCTCACAGAACACCTGTCTCCTGAAGCCCCCAGCCCACCCTTGAGTTCCAAGGTGACTTCTGTTTCCCAAGCCCACTCCAGACCTATAACC